GCCGCCGCCGCCGCCGCCGCCGCCGCCCGGAGGACAGGGGGCCACGTACCCGCCATCTTGTGGTCGCCCCCTCCTCCTCGGTCTCCCGGGGATCCGGGGCTACATGGAGCGGCGCGAGCCGGGGAGCCGGGGAGCGCGCGCGGGAGGGGCGGCAAGGAGGAGGAGGGCCGGGCCGGCGGGGGCGCGCGCGGGGGCGCGCGGGGCGGGCCGAGCGGCTCCCGGACGCCGGGGGGCGGGCGGGCGCCGCGAACCGCGGGCCCCGGGCCTCGCCCCGCCTCGCCCCGCCGCTCCGCACGGCTCCCGGGCGGCCGGCGCTCTCTCCTCCCGCCTCCCTCGCTCCCGGACCGGCCCGGCGGCGCGCGCTCACACCCTCGGCCGGAGGTGCCCTCACGCCGAGCGCTGCGACGGGCGCGCGCAAGCTGCCGCCGGCCTGGGACCCTGCGGCGTGTGCCCGGAACCGGGCCCGGGCGGGGCCTCCCGCGCCCCGGCCGGCTTTATTGGGTCACCGGCCTCGCCCACCGCCTCGTCGGCCGCGGCCCTTCTTCGCGGGCTCGCCGTTCGCCGCCCCGCGCCCCCTCCCCAGGGCTGCACGTACGTCGTCGGCGTTCCGAGGCCCGACGGAGGCCGAGGGTCCCACCCTCCGGGTGGAGGAAGCGCCGCCTCCCCGCGCGCCGGGGGCCCTCGCGAAGTGGCTGGTAACAAAGCCCAGGGCCCGGCCGTACCGTGGTTGAGTGACAAAGTCATCCTAGTGCAGCCCGCTTTCCCACCCGGCGCGTTTAAGTCTGAGGCACAGATGATTGCCCCGTGGCCTGCCCTTCGTGCGCTGACAAAGCGGGAAATGCTCCAGCAAGAGCGCCGGCAGGCCTGGGTTCAGATCTCGAGTCTGACATTTACTTAGGTGCCTAACCCGTTGTAAATGAAGGATGATACCTGGCTCAGGATTACTGTGATTAATGAAGAATGTAAGGAACCTAGCAGGGTACTTGATATCTGGAAGGTGCTCAATGAAGGGTGCCTATGATTAGCTTTTCTTTTTCTTTAGTTTAAATAATTTTGCGAGCGCTTGATGAGCAGGACTGAAATCACTATTACAAATTTTATTATTCCCGCTTTTTTTCTTTTAATTTACATGTGTTAAGTGATTAGCTCAAGTGCAAAGTGGAGGCTGAATCCAGGTTTTCTGACTCCATTTCACACTATCCTATCTCCAGGATTCTAATCGGTAACAACTCCACCTAAGGCCTCCAAAATTGTAATCTCCCAAAGTGGAGAACAAAACACCCGATTATTTAATTGATGCCATATTGGCAGGTCTGGTTTCTTGAAGAGGAGAGGAAATTCTGAATAATCAGCTTGTCCCTTTCTGTATTGTAGTCTTCACCAAGGACACTATCAGTTGACTCTTGAACTACACAGGTTTGAACTGTATGTAGATTTTTAAAAATAAATTAGAAAATTTGGGGAGATTTCCAACGATTTGAAAAAACTCAAACAGCATAGCCTAGAAATAGCGGAAAAAGAAAAAGGTATTATTGTAAGAATGCAGGATATAGTACATATTATACACAAATCAACTGGGTTATTGGTAAGGTTTCCATTCAACAGTAGGCTATAAATAGTTAACTTTTGGGGAGTCAAAAGTTTTACATAGATTTTTGAATGCAAGGGGGTGGGCACCCTATGCCATTGTATTGGCATTTAATGCCATTGGGAATCAAACTAAGGATCAGATCAATCCTCTGAAATTCATAATTCCGTGTAATAAAACGGGTTCCACATAGCTATTCTAAAAACTTCCCTCTCAGCTGTTACAAGGTGGATCACAAATTGTACAGTTTGTATTAAATTTCTAGAAGCAATAAAAATCAGAATAGAATCTATTACTCCAGATGTGTGTCTAATTTTCTCAAACATAGAATAATTAAAACTAAAGGTCAAACTCATATCCTATTTCTTTCTTTCCCTTGCAGAATGCCCTTCTGTGAAACCAACTGACACTAATTCTCAACATGACAGCTAGAAATTCACAAACTATTAACAGAAACCAGTCACAATTGACTCAGTCCATGAGAGTTCTGCCATGCTTGTAAATTTGTCTTGTTGACCACCTACCATTTTAGCAATTCCGGGTAGAAAGGAGGAGGGGAAAGGATTTGGTTCTTTGCACTAAACTGGTGATTTTGCAAGAACACAAAATCTATAGAGTGCTAATTATACTTCAGTCACTGGTTATAGAAAGACAACGAAATCTATCTGGACAATCTACCCCAGCAGTCGGATTTATAATTCTCAGTGATGGTGGTAAAACAGATTATGTACCAACTGCTGTCCTGGGCTACAGAAAGATGAAGGAACTCTGCCTTTGGTAGCTAGGCCTCAGTAAACTCATCTCACTATTCTCTGGCAAGGCAGCAAGGGAGGAGGGTGTGTGTAATTCTGTCCATGTTCTTCCAGAACGATGCATTCGTTATCCTACCTGCTTTACATGTTACTACAGGTCCTTTTAGGAAGTATGGTTTTTAGACATTTCAGTGAGGGCTCCCTTATTCACAGTTCAGCGTAAGTACATGTTTTTTACATTTGATTTTCTTTCTCTACTTTCATAAGGATAAGATAAATCGTTTTTATTTATTTCTTTAAAAGATTTTATTTATTTATTTGACACACAGAGAGAGCACAAGCAGGGGGAGCAGCAGAGGAAGAGGGAGAAGCAGACTCCCTGCTAAGCATGGAGCTTGCTGTGGGGCTTGATCCCAGGACCCTGGGATAATGACCTGAGCCCAAGGCAGATGCCCAACTGACTGAGCCACCGAGGCACCCCAAGATAAACGTTTTTTAAACCAGCGCTTATAAAATTCACTCTTCCCTCCTTATTAAAAAATGATATATAAACAAAGAATAGCAATCATTTCCCTATATACCCTTACTCCAATTTCACTTATAATGTAGCCTGTGGGTTCCAGAAGCTGTTGTTTAGTGGTGAGAGCACAACAGGAAGTGACTCTGAACCTGTTTCGCCACTGAAATCTGTAAAATAGAGGGAATGGCACAAATCAATTTTTTTAAAGATTTTATTTATTTTTTAAGTAATCTCTACACCAAACATGGGGCTCAAACACATAACCCAGAGGTCGAGTCAAGTGTTCCACCAACTGAGCCAGCCGGCACCCCACAAGTCCATTTTTTAAAAAGTATTATCTGAGTATGTGGCTACAAAGGCCTGGATTTTTCAGAATAAGTACTCTTTCAAATACTCGTGAAAACTTCCATTAGTTGCCAAGGAGCCTTGGAAATCGATGTATTTGGCCCTTCAAAAACACAATAAATATCATGGGGAAAGATACCACCAGTAAAAAAACCTACCTGGCCTTGCTTGAGGCTCTCCCATTCATTAATTTTTGTATCAGTAATTGAACTGTTTGCTTTTTTCTTCAGAATGTTCATTCCTGAAGCTGAGAAGATATAAAAGGCAGACCTATTATTGTTATATTGTTATTGTTTTGAATAATAAGAAAACGAATCAGTCTGAAAATAGAGAAATACTTACACGAGAAAGTGCTTTTTAAACACATTTTTAACATTCATTTTTATTCGTCTCTGTGTTTTTGGGAGCCAGGATGATGAGATGTCCCTCATAGGCTGCCATTCCCAAGTAAAAAGAACAAACATTTTCCTCTTTTTTCTTTTTTAATTAATTGCCCTAATTAATCTCTTATCAAAAGCCTCCTTTACATATTCTGGTAAATTGCATAAAGGTAAATATTTGTGTAAAATTTTTCTTATCTTTTTGTTCCCTTGCCTCTTCTAGCTCCCTTTGAAGTTCTATGTCTAGGTGACCTTCCAAAATGTGAAATCTTAGCCTTTCCTAGATCTTTCATAGTTTGGTTTTGTTTTTCAAAGACATTGGATCTCTTTTTACTCACATCAGCTAAAGATACATTTTCTCAGACTATCCTAAAAAAGAAAGAAAGACTGGTGGGAGAAATAGCTACAGAACTGAGCTCCATCTGAGTCATCCTTAGTCATGCTGTTCTTTCTCTATTCACAAGAGTTGAAGACTGCCCGTTGAATTCGGCAGAACAGAAGCTCTGTCCCAGGGTCAGCCACTGCTGCAAGTTTTAGCATAGGCTTGTCCTGAACAGAAGAGAGCATCCTGTTAGAACCACTGCTGTAAACCAAGTATGAAAGAAAATAAACCCTCAGTTTCTTATCCACCGCATGAAGTTCTCTCCCGTTTTCTAGGTTAGTAGAGCCAAAAGGGATTCTTCACTGAGAATGTAGTTATTCCAGCTGAAGTAGAGCATCCTATACAATTTGTTTCACAATGTTTAACTTTATGGTGGATCCTAAAATGTGAAAATGTTGAGCAAGAAGTACATTAAAATAGCAGTGTTTTGTTTTGTTTTTTAAGATTTTATTTATTTTAGAGAGAGAGAGACGGAACACAAGCAGGGGGAGTGGGAGAGGGAGAAGCAGGCTCCCCGATGAGCAGGGAGCCCAATGTGGGGTCCGATGTGGGGCCTGATCCCAGGACCCTGGATCATGACCTGAGCCACCCATGCGCCATAGAATAGCAGTGTTAATTTTCTTTGTGCCTTTCTCTGAAAATGCAGAAAACGTTAGTTGCAGTTCAAAGCAATGTGGAAGAGCCTACCCCACACAGTAGGGAGGAAATGCTTATTATTCTAAATCTGGACGCACGAGTCAAGTTGAACCTGAAAAGACCATAGGTAAACCACATACAGGAAACCCAGATACCTTGATTTTAAGGTCATTTCACAGTAATGCTGCTCTGTGGGTCTATGGTTCAGAAGAAATTGCTTCCATTCTCATTTCGCTTCTGTGTAACTCTTTGTAACCAATTGCTTTTGTTCCAGGTCTTTGATTCCTTCATTTGATAGAAAAATAAAAAATAGAAAAAATTAGCCCAATGACAATACATTTCGTACACAAGATAGCTAATCCAGTTTTAAAGCTTTTTATTTTGAAATAATTACAGATTTACAGGAAGTTGCAAAACATGTACAGGGAGGTCCTGTGTACCCTCCACCCCATT